TGGAGGGGGCCACAGGCAGCGGCCAGGAGCTGCCCCACTCCGAGGTCCAGCGCGCAGCCTGCGTCCCCCTCACAAGGCTGGGAGAGGACGTGGCATCCGAGCTCTTCCAGCTCTGGTCTCTGCAACATTCGGCACGCGCGCACAGGATGTTTCTGCTGCTATTTATCCATGGGGAAATAGCTCACCCTTGACAATTAAGAGAGAGAAATCTAATAAATTCAGACCCCATTTTTATAAATACAAGTGACTGATACCACTCAACAGGACCCTGCTTAGCATGGGTGTGAGGCACCTTCATCTCCCAGCCTGGATGTCGCAGGGGACCTGAGCTTCCTCGTGCACGCAGCCCACCCCCGCTGCCCACTGCTGGCCAGGACGCTGCCGGGCCAAACCACATGGCACTGGCATCCTGCCCCCCTTCAGGCCCAGTGTGGGGGTCTGTGACCCTCTGCAGCCCTGTGGCGAGCCCGACACCTCCCGCTCGCGGAGCAGAGGCTGCCCACATCCCTGCTCTTACTGCCCAGCGGCTGAAGCCAGAGCCAGGGGCTTCCAGGGCCCCTGGTGGGATGGGGCTGGGACAGAACATGGAACACGCTCCCTCGACAAGATCAGGCATTGCTTGCTCTCCCTCTTTTCTCCCCAGGAGGACAGAAGTCAGCTCCTCTGCCCCCCCCCAGGACTTCCAGGTCCCCGTCTCAGCACAGAACCCTTCCACAGGCACACATTCTGCCCTCCAGACCCGCTGGCCTTACCGCAGCCCCTGGCTCCCCACAGGCGGGCCGCAGAGGTCTGCCCATAAGGGACAAACCCAAACTGTGCTGGAGCACACCTACAGGACCTGCACAGACTCTCCCACCCCTCTTCCCTGTGCTCTTCAGGGCACAACCGGAGGCGGCAGCCCGTCCCTAGGAGCCATGAGGGCAGCCTGCACCCTCTGCGTGCGCCTGCAAGCCTGCTCCGAGCAGAGATGTATTCCCCACTCCGCCCCACCAAGGAGAGCTGGAAGCAGAGCAGAGACCTCAGACTGGGGCTGCACAGACCCAGCGGCACGGCCGGGGCTCAGGTGCCAGTGCAGAGCTCTGTTGCTCTGGCTTAGCTCAGCTCGGCAGCGGAGGGGCAGGCGTGTTGCTCAGCTTGGCACACCGCGCCGCATGGAAGCACTGCCTGCCCCAACAAAAGCCCTCG